AAAAACTGTGTCCATCTTCATTTCAGGCTGCAAAGCAGCAAAATGTGATTATTTAAAAGGGGGATTATTATTTTCTATACCCACTGAATGAGTGCAGTCCCAAATAATGTGCATGTGTTTTAAACACTGTCATCTGTCATCGACTCCTTGTAAGAATGTATAATTAAAGGGTTAGTTCACCCAAAAATTAAAATTGGCTTGTGTTTTACTCACCCTTGAAGCATCCTAGGTCTATATGACTTTCTTCTTTCAGACGAATCCAGTCGGAGTTATATTCAAAATTGTCCTGGCTATTCCAAGCTCTATCATTGCAGTCAGCGGGTGTTGCAGTTGAACAGTCCACAAGTTGTCAAATATAGCGCGCACATCAGTAATAAAACATGCCTCACACACTGTAAGCCCATACAGGTTGATTGAACTTAAAAAATGTATGGTAAAAACTTTACCTGTCTTTCTCTAAAAAGTGCTGGCCAACGCTGAAGTATCAGGCTTACAGGAGGCTTGTTGATCACAACATCATGTCTTCTTAAGGATAGAGTCATGTCCATCTTCTGATTGATAAAGACTGCATCAGGGTTTTTTTTCTTCATTTCATCCACCAACTGCTGTCTGAGCATTTCAAGACCGGAAGCATCCTGCCCACTTGGAAGGTTAGGTAGGTAGTTGACCTCCCCTTTCCTTGGTTTCTTGATGGTCTTGCTAGGTGGATCACTGCTGGTAGAGTATCTTCCTCTTTTCCCAGCATTAACCATGACATCTGTGTGTCCAAGGCTTCTCATTTTGGATCTGTAATTTCCCATTTTGTCTTTCAAACTGTTTGTCCACCCACAGTACCCAGAAGGCGACCCTGGTTCTTGAAGACAGTGGTGAGTATTCACCAATGCCTTGGCAACATCTCTTAGATCATCAGCAGTTGGGTATGCTTTGAAGGAGTATATGGTCTCTGCAAGTTTCTGAAGAATGTCATGTTTCAATTCCTTTGTCATTTTTAGGTGCATTCCATCCTTCAAGTACATTAAGGCTGCTTGACGCAGCCTATATTCAACATCGACAGAGAATTTTGGAATCAAAAAGATATCA